ACTTATTGTTATTCGTGGTATTGCATAGTGCTTGGCTTTTCTCGCGTTCCATTCCCTCGGGACACGAGAGAAACCCACTATACATTTCTAATCATAATAAATTTTAATAACAAATTTCGTAATTATTTTTTGAAACACGAATGTACATTTAATAACAAGAATAAAATTATAAGAATAAAGAATTAAATTGCATGAAGGATTTGCAGAATTATAATAACTTACTATATTATTTTTCTTTATACATTGAAAGTCTGTTGATCCACTAAGCTAGACTGATCCGTTTTCATGCGAAATATTTCCAGAGAATGAAATCCTCCTGTCCTCTCTTTCTTTTTTTTCGCATTTGCACAGATATTATCTGAAACGCTGCAGACGTTTGAGTTGCCATATCCGGGGGACTTATATCTCAGGGTGCAGCGAATCAGACAATTGCCAGGAATCACACTCGGTTGCCTCCTTGATTACTCACGAAGCCAATCGCTCGTATCTCTGGTTCATGAGAACCGTGAAACTGCCAGAGGAACAGACGCGAGATAGAGAAGCAACTCTAGAAGAGATGTTACCTTCCAAGAATTGAAGAATCCACACACACACACACACACACACACACACATACACACACGCACGCACGCGCGCGCACACACACACACACACACACACACACACACGCACGCACGCACGCACAAACATGATATGCGTGTAAGAGAAGACGTTTCAAGGCGTGTTGCACACGCTTGAGTCTTCGCTCATAAAAAATTACAACGGGGGGAAACGATAAATCGAGACTGTCTCTCTACGCCATGAAAAGCTTATTTCTCTTGTCTCTTCCCGGGCGATGATACGTAATGTCGACAGTCTTCTCGGGATTGAGAAAGAAGCGGGAAAACCGCACCCCAAATACTCCTGGGAAGGCTAGAAGTGACTTTCTGAATTACACGAAAGATCGATGTAATACGAAACGTTTATGTCTTCGGTGGTACCCAGTTGGTAGAGCATGGTCTTCATTTATCATCGGACATCGAAATCCGCCGAAGGCAGACAGCAGCTAACAGCGAGAAAGCAATCGTACCTTCGACGGCTAGTTATCGACGGGAAACCCAAACCGATCGTTTTGCAACTTTTTACGCAACGCCGGGCAAAGCCATTAGCCGTTCCTCGCGTAATCGTATCGAATACAACAAAATGCATCGACAAAAAGCGGATTGCACGGGAACACCTCGTGTGGATACCGCGAAAAATCGTTGGGAATCAACGTAACACCCGAATCGATTTTATACTAGTTTCAGTGGAACTTAATCCAGAACTCTTTTTACGTTACACTTTTATCATCAAATATAACTAACAACATATATCGCATTTCTGCGAGTTCTCTCATAACTATGTGTCACGATATATAAGGGTCTATTAATATTTTTGCAGCGTCGCGGTCAAGCGGCAATTCTCATCGACACTTCTCCATTTATTCCACTCAGTCTCTCATTAATTTTGCATAACTATAAGTCCTATAGACCGACCGAGCGCAACCACTTGGGCCGCATCTCGTTGCAATATTAAGCATCTACAGACGATGCATTCGTCTGCTAGAGAAGCTAATGTCGTTTGCCGGAAGTAAAGTGAGAGAGTAGATTTCTCCCTACAATCCTCTTCACGCGATCATCTCAGAATTCCATGGTTTTCGAAAGCCTCAAATATTTCTTAAGTACTCGTGTGAAAAGAAAATTACATGAAAAAAAATTGAGACTTTTCTCTCAGCACGGATTAAAAATCGATGCATCATCGTTATCGCTTTACTCGTAACTTCAGCGGAGCATTTTCTTTTTCGAAAGAAGAGCATCCTCCTGGCACCCGCAATCTCTGACCAGCAGCAGCAAGAAGTATAGAACCGCACCTGGTCTCGCGGAAACCGCCGGCGGCGCCGACGTCGAAATCGAAGAAGCGGAAAGTGCGGTAAGGTCGGAAAAACCGACTGACCTCGACGGCATCCGGGATGCTAAAGAAAAGCGGTTTCCCCGAGGGTCCGTCCTCCCATCTTCCCCCCCCTCTCTCTCTCTCTCTCTCTCTCTCTCTCTGTCTCTCTCTTTCTTTCTCTCACTCATTCACTTTAAGATCGGAGCCTCGAGAGGAAGGATGGCGCGCGGAAGGAATGCACAACCAAGAGTGATGCTCCCTTCTCGAGATGTAAACTGTTTGCGCTGTTTCCTGCACAACCGGAGGTCCGGGAAATGGCCAGACGGGAGAGTGGTTCCGGCCGACCACCACAGCGAGAACGACCTCTATTCCCCATACCACTTATCCTTCGTGTTCCTTCTTAGCGTCCATTCCGTCTGTCTGAGCGAATACACTTTTGGCTTTTTCCTATCAATGGTGACAATTTTGAAATTGAGGGGCTTCTCGCAAAGGGATGCTGCTTTTCGTTTAACTATTCCATTAAAATTTTTAATTAATATATAATCACTATTTATTTAATTTTTCTAAAT